GGACTCCAAGAGAAGGTTGTAGATCCAGAAGCAACATCACTTTTCCTTCACTTTCTGGTAATCAAGTCTATATCTTGACCATTTGTTTTCTAGATCTTTTTATGGGGTAGTTTAGGGATTTTTGGAGTGCATTTTGGAACCATTCATGGATGCAAGCGTGATTTGGTGTATCAACTGCAGATCTAGAGTCTTTGAGGGACTCCATGGCATAAAGGTGCCAACTTTATGGCCATGGGAGTCCCATGCACCTTATGAGACACCTTTTTGGACCTTGTGAGCTAGAAACCCCATGTATGCACGTAAAGTTGGAAACTTTACGTGACACAAGTACCTTAGGGGTCCAGATTTATGTTTTGGAAGCAATAAACCAACTGAAATCGACTGAATAGATTAAGATCATGGGGACTCGACGCGTTGTTCATGCAACTCGGCGAGTCGGGTCATGGTCCCCCAACTCTTCTGTTAATGAGTGAACTTGTTGAGTCTAGGAGATGACTCAGTGAGCTGGACATAGTTTTGGACTTGGGATTTGAAGAACTCGACGAGTCCAAGGAGGGACTCGACGAGTCCAAGGAGGGACTCGACGAGTTGAGTCGGGGTGTCCCGATTTAATGACAAACAAAACTCAACGAGTTTGTGAAGGGACTCGCCGAGTTGACTCAGTTGACCATGAGTATGAGTAGTTCAGGAACTCGTCGAGTTGGGAGATAACTCAACGAGTTGGGTTGACTGGGAGTCAACCTTGACTTTGACTTTGACCCAAGCGTTGACTTTGACCAAGGGGTAAAATGGTCATTTTACCCTAGAAAGAATTATCAAATCTTGATTAAGTGTTATTATGAAATTGATAGTCGGGGAGTCGTCGGAGCAGCAGTCAGAGATTCTTCACTCGAGTTGTCAGTAGTCAGCCTTACGAGGTGAGTTTTCTTCCACTAGGACGAGTCTAAGGCACCAAGGCTGGCCCGTATATGCATGTTTACTAGCCGAGTGTGGGCGAGACCCGTATTTCCCAGTTAGCCGAGTGTGGGTAGGGCCCGTATCTCATAGCTTAGTTTGATTATGGATATATGCCTGATTGATAGATTTAATTATACTTGTAGTCTGTGTGATACTCGTATGTATGTTTAGTAGCCGAGTGTGGGCGGGGACCGTATCTCGTAGTAGCTGAGTGTGGGCGGGGACCGTATCTCGTAGTAGTCGAGTGTGGGCAGGGCCCATATCTCGTACTAGCTGAGTGTGGGCGGGGCCCGTATCTCAGAGTTAGCGAGTGTGGGCGGGGCCCGTATCTCCATGAGTATGGGTGGGGCCCGTATCTCTTAGTTGCATGTTTTATGTGTATGGTATGTGGTAGTTTGGGGAGACTCACTAAGCTTCGTGCTTACAGTTT